CTTTCCATCTAATTTCCATCTAATACCAAACAAAGTAAAATGCATCCATTTAATTTTCCATCTATCATACCAAACATAAATGAGTAAAAATATATTTCTTCTCTCTAGGGATGGAAAATCTTTTCCACCTTTCCTACCAAAAGTAATTTTAAAATTTATGTTTAATTTCCTTAAGCAATAATAACTTTTCCTTGAAAAGTTATAAATTGATCTTTAAAAATTGTAAGGCGAATTATATTTTATATCCTCAAAGATTAAATTTTTCATATTGTATCCTTAATGTATCAAAAATATTACAATTTGACTCTTCTGTTAACTTTTCGTTAGTTTTTTCATCAGTGGCAATTGGTTGGTTTTTGACAAAAAAATTACAGAAACTAAAAGAAGGGTCACATTACAATATTTTTGATATATTGAGAGTACAATATAAGAAATTAAATCTTTAAGAGCGTAAAGTGAAAATTTTGAAATCTTTCATAGTGTAAAGTTCGAAAAATTTGAAATTGCAAGTTAAACTTTAAAAGTTATAATTTACCATAATATTTTAAAATAAAAAAATTTCAGTCACACCCATTTTAGTTTATTATATTTTTAAAGATATTGTCTCTATTATTTAAAATATCAGTAAAAACCTTTGTAATTTATATTTAAACATTACTGACACCCCTTATCATTAAACCACTTTTTTTAATAAAAAAAGTATTATCTAAAATACTCAAATTGCCCCTATATAAACTCCACATTATATTTTTATATAAAATTCGAACCGATTAAAATTCATTTTTCTAGATATTAAAATTTGAGCTAATTGACATTTATTTTTCTAAATATTAAAATTTGAGCCGATAAAAATTCAATTCAAGTTGATTAATTTTTTTTTTGACGTATTAAAATTCAAGTCTATTAAAATTTATTTTTTATTTATTAAAATTCGAGCTGATTTAAGTTCTACTAGAGTTTTTAGTGCCGATTAAAATTTATTTTTGCGTCAATTAAAATTTATATTCTTTTACATATTAAAATTTGTGTCAGTTAAAATTTAATTCAAATCGACTAAAATTCATTTTTTACATAGTAAAATTTTAGTCCATTAAAATTTATATTTTTTATGTATAAAAATTTGGACCGATTAAAATTCAATGTGAATTGATTAAAATTTGATTCAAGCTGATTAAAAATGAATTTTAGTCGAAACAAATAGAATTTTAATAGGTTCAAATTTTAATACGTAAAAATATATAATTTTTAATCGACTCGAATTTTAATACATAGAAAATAAATTTTAATTATCTTGAATCGAATTTTAATCGACCCGAATTTAATACGTAAAAAAATTTAAAAAATAGAAGGAATCTCATTAAAGATATGTTTATATAAAGGAAGTGTGGATGAAATTTTTTTATAAAATATATCATAACCAATTTAATAAATTATATGTTACACCTATGATACTTCAAGAACAATATTTTATTTAGGAATTACACTTCTACTTAATTTACTCATTGGTCTTCCTCTTGTTGGTGGGCCTTGCTACTTGCCTGGTTTTTTTCCTAGGATTTTTCTGCCCAATAATTAGTCTCTAATACTTACTATTGCCGTGCGACTTAACGACCTACTCTATTTCGCCTAAAGACAAGTTTTATAATTAACTTTCTTCATGCAATTGATTTAATCAAATATTCAATCAAATTGAATCACCTGAAAGATTACCTTTAGTTAATGTCTTTAATTTAATAGGGGATGCCAGTGAATATCTTAAAACTAGAAGAAATGTTTTTGAAAATATAATAATGAAATGTGATTGAAATTTTTTTTTCTAAAATCGATCATTCACTGTACAACTTATAATTTAATTTTAAAAAGATTATAATTTTTGGTACTTCAGTACGGGAGGCTATCTCCTAACTACAATCCTTAAAGTCTGACAATTCAGAATCCATGGCAGATGTCGGTGGGCAATCATGCCTTTTGGGACCCAGGGAACTGGTGAAGTTGTAGACCCATATGACATTGAATAAACCCCAACCACACTCTAGAAAGATACTAAAGCAAATTTCGGACCACTCTTGAGCTTGTTTGATATTTATTTTGGAAAGAATTTAAATTGACTCGATTAAATTCGGGTTTAATTTAAAAAAAATTAATATTCAATGTTGTTCATATTTATATTTTGTATGCACAAAAATATATGATTATTATGATAATATATTTATATATAAATAATTATTATATTTCTTAACTAATTTGTATATATGAAGTATATAAGATATATGAGGATATAAATATCATTTGTATACTAAACTCTTTAACCCACGTATGAAAACCCCCTTTTGAATTTTATGAAACCCAAGTATGTGAGTTTTATGATTGGACCATTCAACGGATTGAGTTTTCAAACCTTAGACTAAACATGAATTATCAAACATGAGTTTAAGAGGATTATTTCTCATCCCACAATCTAAATCTCTCTCAAACCCGCATTCCAAACAGTCTCTCGTTGTGTTCCCACATACCTTTTAAAGGACATATTTCTATTTTTTTTTATCTTAATCATCTTCGTTACTATTTTGAGACCTAAAAAAAAATATTCTTCATTGGTATACGCGGTTGTTTCAGATTATTGCTAGCATTATTGTTCTTAAACTTAATTTCTATGCCTTACTTTCTCTGCCTATGAGAGAGTCATATGTCGTCTCACACTTCTACGTAAAGGTCGGCGGAGGCTCCATCCACAAGCCAATGGGTAATGCCAGCTTCGTGTGTCGGGTTTTATCAAGCCATTGTATGGTTATAGGGTGGAAAAAATTATACAAAAAAGATAACACTAATACTACGTTAATTAAATTTTGGTCAGCATAGCATTGCTAAAAAAATAATGAAGATAATTTTAGTCTGACAAATTACACTAAATGTATCATGTTCTTATCACATGGACAAATAAATTAGGAGTATTTAAGATTATTCGTTCGAAACTTATTAGACGAATAACCTCAATCCGTATATTCATTAACCGAAACATTAAATCTAAACCTCTTGTATACCCCCATCAAATGAAACAGATTAACAAGATCTTTGATCTGGTGTAAAAAATTGATGATGCACAAATTAATTTTATGCACCACCTATTGAGTTATTAATGATTAGTGCAGTAATTAAGTAAAAGAGAGTGACACAAGCAAAAAAAAAATGTAGAGTAATTTGGTTAACGTGACCTATTCCACTATAAAAGGTTATGATGGCCTGACGTTTTATTATTTCAAAGAGTGTAGGGAGATCAGGCAGGAGCAATAAAGGTACAAGCTATGAGAGAGAGATGAGAGTGATAGCATATGTGTTCGATATCCCCTAGGTTTTGACAGGACTTATAATTTATAGTGTCTCTCAACAGATTAAGACGCATTTTCAGTTACTAAGTAACTGATTTGATAGAGCTGGCGTTATCCTCTCAACGTCTAAGGCGATTACAGAACTCTCTTTAAGATCAAGTCAAAGGATGACGTGGTTTACTTTTTTTTAAGGCGGTATAGATAAGATTCTTGGGATGGCGTTGCCTACTGTTTGGTGATGTAACTCCTCAAACCCTAATAAGTTTGATTGGGCGTAGACCTCTTTTGAGCTACACCCATTGCATCTCGTCTACTTGGGTTTTTTTATTTAAATTGGGCTTATAACCGGAATTGTGTCCTTGGGTTTGACTCATCAAAAATAGTTAAAATAAATGTAGACTCTTCGAAGAAACAATCCAAAATACTCATAATTTGTTATCTATGTGGTGAACACGTGATACATTTTGTTTAAAAATCTAGCTGCTATTGACAAAAGGGTTTAATTATTAAAATTTTAGAGTTTAAGAGTTTAATTAATACGAAAATTAGTTCAAGAGCTTAATTAATATAAGAGTCATATTTTAAAAATCATTTTTCTAAATATAAGATATTTGAAAATTTTAAATTTATTATTTCAAATTAAATTATTAAATTAAATTTTTAAAATTTTAGTACTTGTTGGCCGATTTCATGTGCTCCGATGCGATGAATGTAGTCAAAAAGAACGTCCAGGGTTGTACACACCAGACTAAAGGACCCAACCATTGGCCTCCATGTGGCGGACTGGGTTCGTTATCAACCTTCATGATTGCGTGGTCTACCATATTATCCAATGAAATGTGATTTGTCTTTAGCTAACCAATTAAAGGCAACTCTACGATACTTACAAACATTGAATTTTTGAATTTAGTTGGGATTGATGATCTATTTTTAATTAAATAGAATGTAGTTAAATATAAATTATTATTATATTTTTATTGAATGTAAAAAAAAAATGAAAAATTTAAAAATTTTCGTTCTCATGTGGACACAATTTTTTTTGACCCCACCCCTATTTGGTGCTGTACTAACTCTATTCTAGAAAAAGAGTTGCAACTTGCAGGCTAACATGGACGGTGTCAATGTGGAATATTAGACTCATTTCGGGTATAAGATTTGCAAGGAAACAGCGTCTTCGTGTTTGTTGAGGCACTCCTCTTTGTTCTAAGGTGTAAAAATGGCAATGGTACCCATTTATTTACGATTTATAATTTAATTTGTAATAAAATTTATCGACTAGATAGCTTATTAACATAAGTTATATGATATAAATCTAAAATTTATGAATTTGATTAATAATTAACTTGACTCATCAGATTAATTTAATAGTTTTATTTTTTTTGAACTATAGATCAATTTAGGAATGGTTTTATGGTGAACAGGGGTGCTCCAATTTATGAACGAACAATATTACGTGAAATTAAAAAATATATTTAAAAATTAAATTTTGATAACGTTGGGACTCATAATAAAATTAATAAAAGATTAAGTTTAATTTATAACTCTACCGAACATTACTTCACGAAAAGGTAGAATTCTTACGCGTCACTGGCCTCTTTATATATCCCCGGCCTCTTCCTGTTATGGCACTCTGACTTCCTTCAACTAGAACTCTCTCTTCGGGGGGGCTTCCTCCCTCCCTCTCTCTCTCTCTCTCTACTCTTCTTCCTCTTGTGTAAGTCTGAAAGTATTTCTGCTTTTCTTCTTGCTACCCCATATTACTATTTCTGCTCTACTTTTCCCTTTTCTTTTTGATTATCTGACATAAACCGTTGTTAACCTCTGTTTTTTGTTCTGTTTTCTGATTGAAACTTTGTTTCCTATTTAATTTGTACCACAGAAAGCAACACTCTGTTTCAAAGAAGATCACCGGCGGATCAATGGCAAATATTTCCTCCAATCCCCCCCAAACGCAAACCACAAACCTTCCTCCAAAGAGGGGCCAGATCAAAGCTCAGATTTTTGAGAGCTTGATGGGAACTGTAGTCTCTGTGACCTCAAAGGTAGGGGAAGCACTGAGGAGGTGGGCGAGAGACGGCGGTGGTGGTGGTAGCTCCGCCTCCGCGAGCTCACCACCGAGCGCTTACTGCTCTGATGGATGTTCCGATCACTCCGAAACACCATAGAATAGACTCATCATTTCCATGATGGGTCCTCATTTCTTTGTTGTAGGCTGTGTTTTATAAGTAGATGCTCTGAAATAGTGTTGGTTTTTAGATCCAGCTTAAGTCTTGTTGGTTCAGTCAATCCGATGGTAATTTTTGTGTTCGGATTGGATTGTGGGTACGTGGGAATTATAAGGGTTTTCATCAGGACTTTGATATTTCTGCATATTTGATTTGTATTTTAGGTGTCAGTGCGAGTTTAGCTCTGTTAAGTTGTTAGTTATTGTGCAGTATATACCTCTTCCACTGTTGTTTCTTCCACTTTTACAGAGGGAATCATAGGTTGGAGGAGGGGGGAGGGGGGAGGGGGGAGGGGGTTGTTTATGTATTTGAGTCTCTTTTGGTCCTCAACTGTTTCTACATCTACTTGTTTCTGTGACTTTTTATGGGAATAAAGTACATGTTTGTTTTTGTATTCGTTTGTAATCATGGTATTGATGTTATACTTGTGTTTGGTTGCTTTTGGAATTGAGACATTGATGTCTGAATTTCTGGTAAGCTTTTGTTGCAAGATAGCAATTGTTGATCTTATTTCTTTTTTAACTCAATAAGATGTTTCTTTTTTTTTTGGGTAAATAAAACAAAATTTTATCGAATAGAACATGATGCTCATACAATAAAAGGGAAAAAAAAATCATAAGATCCCCTTCACACAAGATCTCAAGCAAAATACAATGATAAAGAGGTCATTTGTCAAGCAATAGAGTACCCCCTACTATACCAATATGGATTAGATGTTTATAGGCCTTCGTCAAACAGGCAAACCCAGCTTTTTCAGAGCTCAATCATTAATATCAATGCACAAATCACCAGAAAACAGTTGTGCAATGGAATACATCAGCAAGAGCAAAAGCTCAAGTGCTTCTAAGGGTAATAATCTATCCATCCTTCTTTCTGATTATATATTGCTGATGCAAAGGGGTAATACAAGATGTTCTTTCCCAAAAGAGAATCGATACTATGGGCAAAATATAGTCCCCAAGCATTAATTTTCAAAATTCAATAGGCTAAGTGTTTTTGGTAACAAAAATTTGAATTTTCCAAATCTATAATTTTTTGGACCTTGATTGAATCTGATGTAAGAGGGGGTAACATCATCTAGAATTTGGATGAAATTGGGTGATAGAGATTTATGGGATGGGAGCATTCGTGCATCTGGACTAGCCTTTGAAACTGTCGTGGAATGAGCCACAAATTCAAACATCTTGAATTCGAATTTTAGCAATTTTTTGAGCTCAAGTCATACTCGTAAATAACCTAATTTCGGTGTGGATAGCCAATTTTTGATAGAACCGAAAAGATAATTAATCGAGATACATGTAGGCCCGGACACCCCAACTATTGAAAAAAGAAAAGTAAAGTTTTGTTTTTGGGACCAGCATTTCACAGGAAATAAATAAATATGTGTCTGTGCGTGTGAATTTTTATTGTCTTTTTTTTCTTCAATTTTTTACCCAATACCTTGCTTGTTTATTTATTTATTGGGAACTATGACTGGGAAGTGAAAAATGATACAGAAAAAAATATTTTTTTTTGTGTTTTAAAAAAAGGGTATTTTTAGGTGAACTATGATATATCGATATGTTGAGAATGATAGGGAACAAGGGTTTTATATAAGAATAATAGTGTTTCTTTTCTATTTTATGATATTTAAGCTAAGATCTAATGAGATCCTTTATTTTATTGTGAAACGTTACCACCTCCTTCACTATTAGAGGAGGAGGACATGAATTTTCAGATTTCTTTTTCTCTTTATTTTTCAATTCTCTTGTTATACATTCAAATCCATTTATATATTACGTAAAAAAAATTTAAATAATTAATTTTTACTCACAATATCAATTAATCATATTATTAATGTCTAAAACACAAGTATTATTACACAGAAAGAGAGAGAGACTTGAAGATATCAAGTCAAGGACGACAGTATTTTTCTTGAAAATGGAATATTGAGAATATACCTTGTTGCTGATCAAAAAAAATAAAAAAATGAATATACATGGTTGGAATATAGCTGGCAATTAACTTGGATTACAGAGAGAGAGAGCGCGACATGAGGGGGTTAGGCTGGTGTTATAACCTTATCTTCAGATGGAAAGGACCTTTTTCTTTTTTGTAAGAAGCGTGGAACCCAAGGCCTGGGCTCCATTGATGACCTTATTGGTCTTTGTCTTGGACATCATGCTTACATGGTTTTTTTCTGTTTTTTGTGTGTGTGCAATGTCATCCACCATAATAATACTTTTATGTGGGTCGCTGAGGATTGGAGGGAGGCAAAAGACAGAAACTTTTTCATCTACTTGTGGTTGAATGTTGCAAACCAGAAGGCATGGAGGCTCAATAATTTTAAATTTTATAATGGCTACGTAAACATACGAATTTTTAGCAAGCTTGTAGCTTTACAATGCTGCATCCATTAAGTACGAATTTTAAGTGGGTATTCATCACTTCGTTTGGATACCTTTCTCCTATAAATCGATTTTCAAGAGGAAGTTATAGTTATGTGCTGATACCAATATTCAAAGCTAAACGGACAAGAAAATTTCTTATTACAAAAATTTGCAGATCAGTATGAAATTATATGTCTACTTTATTTTGATTTTTCAAACATTTCCTCTCGGCTTCTCTCAATATTATTAGGGAAAAAAGTGTTTCCCACCATCACCAAGCCCCCGTGTGTATTAGAGTGATACTTCTTTCAGTTGACGTGTTTGAAATAAATTTTATGGTCTCTACGCGTTTAGGGTTGAAGATTCATTTATTTTTCAGCGAAATACAAATGAATAATGCATAATGTTGTTGCGTGTATGTATAGAGTGTAGGAGACACATAAAATCAATGTGGAACATATAATAAGACAGCGAAGGGTGTTATCCAAAGGCCAAGTTGCGTCGGGTTGGTTCATACACCATTTGCTTTTTCGGCTTTGAGTGGAATTTTAGTCGAGGTTGTTAGGTGTCATTGTTCGCTCTCTGGATAAGGGGCGGTGAACAGCTAGCTCAACGTTGAATTGAATTCGTGGCATGTGTGGGTCACATTTCATACCCATTTCTTCCTGTGGCTGCTGTGAATGTACTTTTCCTTTGTATATATATGCTAATGGAAGAGTTATTTTAAGAAGTTATTAAAATATAAGGGTAATGTTACGATTTAATTTGATGAAAAAAAAAATGACCTAAAAAAAATTATAATTTTTTATGCCCAATACTATCTTTGGAAGCCTTAAAACTCCCAAATAATGACATTTTGTTGTGTGTTTGGACTAAGGTTATCTTTTCTCCAGCCCATTTTTTGTAAGAAGCAAAATTACAACCTCTCTTCCTCCCTTACTGGGTTACTCACTTTCCATGCTTGCCCTACATGCTTTAATGCATTTGGCCTTTTGTGCTGGTACCACATGAGTGAGTGTGTGTGTGTGAGAGAGAGAGAGTTGTGATACAATTTATGACACCTAGTGTGAATGAAGTGGAAATGTTTTCATCTTCATGAGAGTACATTGGTCCATTGGAATCGTACCAGAAATTTGATGTGGGGTTATGAGACAAATTGGTTTGCCAGTAGATCTTCTTGTGGGAGTCAATCTAAAGGGTGACTTATTTTATCATGATGTTCTGCAGCTCACAAAGTCATTGATGTTGAAGGAGAGAGAAAGTGAAGAAATCATAACTTATTTCACTCTATCGTAATCAACTGATCGGAGGAGGGTGTTTATAATTCGTGTTGACGATTAAGGTCAATCGTAGTAGTGTGAAACAAGATTAAGCTCAATCGTAATAGTGTGAAACAAGATTAAGCTCAATCGAACTTTATCTCCCTAACTCACATGAGAGAGAGAGAGAGAGAACTTGTGACACGTAGTGTGAAACTAGTTGATATAATTCCACATTCATGAGAGGTTCAATGGTCCTTTTGTAATCGTCTGAGAAACGTGGGCTATGGGGACAAGTTAACTGGATGCAGCTCACAAAGTCATAGAGAAAAGTTAGGACGCCCAAATTTCTTTCACTATATCATAATCAACTGATTGAACAATGGTGGTTAGTAATTCCTGCTGAAAAATTACATTGATTCACTTCCCTTACAAAATATTCGATTACACGCTTCAAAGGTCGCTATTGGAGCAAAAACAGATTTGTTTAATTTGATTAAAGACTTGTCCATCTCTCCATATAACTTGAGATCGATCAGAAAGCCAATTCCTTAATGTATGTACCCTTTTCAGTTCCGATGCATCTTATTTTTATGGAATGTACTATTTTATTTCGGATCCCCTCAATATCTAATTTTATCAATCGCGAACAAATCTAATCATTCGTTATTAAACTTCTTAGGTCTTCTTCATGAGTTCGGGTAGACACCCATAACTACCAATGCAATTATACAATAAATGATTAAACACGATAAAAAATGATGGAAGTAGAAAAGAAAAATGTATGGTTTGTATCGGATAGGACCAATACTCTTTCTCATTTTGCCTTTCTTGCATCATCAAATCATGTGTTTGATCATCAATTTTCTATACTATATTTTTTTTAGGTTAACTGTCAAGAATATTTACGTTGATCATCTACGTCGAGATTAAAGTATTCATAAGAGATAAATTCATTATAGTCTGATTCTAAAGAGTTATCAAGATTCAAATTCAGAACATTTGAATTTATAACTCACTTATGTTATCACTTGAACTACACTTAGAGTTAATTTTCGCGCCACTGAAACCACGTGATTCCCACTTTCTTGAAATATTTGCAGCCTTGGCCCTTTTTACACTACTTGATGGTGGTCTACTCTACAGTGCTAAACCTTGGCACCCAAGTAATGCAATTTGATGCAAAGGAAAGGTTGAGCTCCAAGCCACTACCATAAGTACCCAAACCCACCAACCCCCAAAGCATCAAACTCTCTCTCTCTCTCTCCTCTCTCTCTCTCTCCGTTTCTAGTTAAAAGCAGAGATCCTCCAAAAAACGTCTTCCTCTGTTGTTTGTTCTCTCTCTCTCACAATAAACTCTCTGACGCTTCAAAATTATCCACACCCTACACAAGAATAATGGAAATCATTGCCTCACAAACCCAAGATCAAGTCACAGCAAAGGCTTCCACCAAGGAGAGGACAACACAAGCTGCGAATATTCAAAGCATTTGCCAGATCAGTCGTTGCCGTCATAACAATGGCCGGCGATTTGGGAATTAGGAAAAGAAAGAAAAAGGGAAACGTTTCTTCTGAGCTCCATGAAACTCCAAGTGTGTTCAATTCAGATAACCCATTCCAAT